GATTTGGAGGTGGGGGTGGTGTTGGCTGGAAAATACGGAGGGAATTACGTTTGTTGCTATTATCACATTGAATTCCGAACATCTTGGCTGAACCGTCCACCAAAGACAATTTATTCGTATGCCTTAACTAAGGTATCATAAGAAGACAGGCAAAAAGCGATTACGTCTTGAAATAAAGCCTCCCGCGAGGGCTCCGAGAAGCACTGGATAGAGTCCACTTTGATGTACTTATCTCATTGTGTCAAGAGTGCACGTAATGTTTGGAAACGTTGCGAGGACGAAGTGCACTGACATATTTATACAGCGAATCTTTCCGAAAAACGACTGCAGTAATCAGGGCGGGGCTTTTAAACGCCCGCCGGCCCGGGCTTTTCGCACCTGTTTTTTATTTAGTCGGATGAATGGGCGACAAGGAATGCTTTCCTCTTACATCATCCCAGCATACCGACATTCGTGCCCGAGGCCCAAATCTTGTGAGGTGATCCACAGCTGTCATAATCAGCGCCTCCCTTGATAACTGTTGATATCGCAACGTATCATATTAGTATAATAAATAGCTCGTGTTGCTGATACGCCCGAACAGTTATTGCGGGTGGCGAACAAAATATGGCGGATACGCGACCTACTTGCTCTCACTCGCGCACTTACAGGAGATAGAATGGAAATGTTGCCCTTTTCCCCGACCTCTAAGAGTCTAAGAGGAACGCACTCAGTACTCCTTAACCCATATTTTCCCTGCATAATTATATGTTATGCTGCTGTGAAGAATTTTGAAGGAAAAGATGAAACTCTTTACTTGACTAAACAGACCTGGATATAAAGCGTTCGACAGTCCACAGAGCTTTCACAAGTCAACATTATTAAATAAAAGTTATTCTTTTTGTTTCTATTTCAATTTTTATAAAATGCTCCTGACTTTTAAACTTTACCGAAATGTATAACTTGGGGGTCCTGTTGCGCGTTACCCCTGAAAGCCGTTCTGTTTTGTTTTTATACATTTAAACGTTGTTTTTTTCCCTCGCTATCATTCCATCTTCACGTACCGCTCCGATATCTTCATGAAGCGCACCGTTTGGCGGCAGACTGTTCTGGATCCCGCTTCCTCACGAAATGTTCAGCAACTTTCTACCTTAACCCAGTAATCCTCATTTGACTAGTTCTCATCTGACAGAGGTCCTATGGTGACAATTATTCGTCTCTGACAGGATCATCTAATAAAGTCCTTAAGGGTGTATTACACGTTCAGATAAAACTGATGGCTGTCCATCTTTTTTTGCTGTGCAATCTTGATGAAAAATAAGTTTTCAAAGGAAAACATTGTCGTCGGCGGGCTGCAGCCGTGACAGGCTGTTCGACCGGTCGGCCACTATAGAACTGAGGCATAGCCTGATTTTTGTGCGTCCGGCTTGAGGACTGTCTTTACACATCAGATTCGTATCAAAATTAATTAACCATATGCCTCGCAAGCGACTCCTTTTTCTTGACGGATTTTAAAGATCACACACAAAAAAAAGTTTTGCTGAGATGCAGCATGTGTTATTTTCTTATTACAAAGAGGACGGTCATCTGTTACTAAATTTAGTTAAATCTGAACGTGTAATATATCCTTTACGTCGTCTTATGGTCTATTCAAAACCTGCCTTCTTGACCTGAAAGTATATTTTTGATCAACGATGTACTGATGACCCAAAGAGAGATGGGAAATCTTTACCTTCTTACTTGTAGTTTAACATAGAATATGCAGACACGCCTCTATAAATAAATCAATGATGGTCCAGACTCGTAGTTTAACATAGTATATACAGGCGTTTTATCTTCAAAGTTCTTTCAAAAGTGCATAAAGACTTCACTTATCACAGCTTCGCAACCGGCGTTTGTGTTGTAGCTGTTAGGTGCTTCGCTGTCGCACGCAGGAGACCCGATTTATAGAGTGGGAAAAAATGGTTATCGCGCATCTGCTTGAATATTGTATCCCTCTCATCCAGGTTGTCCCTGACAGCGAGGGTCGGAAGCCCGCCTCCTAAACGTTCAAAAATTGTGCGGATGGAAACAGAAAAATCTGTGCACACTTACATTTTAAAAAACAGCTTTGGTTGTGAGAAACATTGTGATGTTAAGTTACGTCACCATCGACAAGGTTTAGCAGATTATTAAGTAACACTGGCGATGAAACGACGAATTGAATGTATGAACAGCATCATTTGAGAAAATATTATTATGGTTGAAATTGTCTTTTAAAGGACATAATAATAATAATAATA